AGCGGCTAGCAGTCTATGGGCCCAGAGGGAAAAGGGGGCCAGGCAGCTCCCTGTTTCATATATAGAGGCCCCTGAAGCTCCCTCCTTCAGTCTGGCTGTGCGGACCTCTCTGGATATAAACCACCCTTCTGCAATGTAGGCAGTGGGGTGTTGCCTGGTTACTGAAGGTGGAGGAGGAGATGGGTAAGCCAGTTCTTCTGTTTTCAGTCTGCCCTGCACCCCTGCCTTCAGAGGTAACAGGTATTTCTGAGTTCTGAGTTCACCGAGTTGTCCTGATTTTTACTTACTACCCCTATTCAGACCCTACTACTGTGGTAGAGTTCCATTTTCTCAGTTTTGCTGAGTCAGCTACCACTCATCCATCCACTCCCAGCTTCCACATGTTGTTGAAATGCCTTATCTGCTATTGAGTCTTCTCCCATTCTCTTTGTCATCCTGTGTTTTTCTTGTTTTTATTTCTTCACTGTCATTATAGTAGATTTTTGGAGAAAAACAGACATGAATGTGTGTATTTTTATTTTTAGGATTTTTCTGTCTTATACTAAATAAAATAGCAGCCAGTGTTAAATAATGTGTCCTGCTTTTTTGGAATTTACTGTGATTTTCTTTTGGTCTTGTATAGGCTCGCTTTTTATAAATGTTCCATGGGCATATTTATTACGTTAGGCTTGTGATTGTTATTATTTAGATGTTCTACATATATCCTTCATTTATAAGTTGTCTGCCCAGCCTATCAACTTCTCTAAGAGGATTAAAAAAACCCTCTTGTATGTTTAACATTAATCTATGTGTATCATTTTATCACAGTCTTGTATTTATAAAGCTTTTGATTTATGTATTTCAGAGTTCCTTTTTTTATGTCTAAGGATTCATAACCTCTAAATCTACTTGAAGAATTTTGCTTTTTATCAATATTCATTCAATCAAGGAATATTTCTTGTGCCTTTACTATGTACCAGGCACTCTTCTAGGTTATTGGGATTCAACAGTGAAACAAACAGATAAAAGTCCCGGCCCTCGTGTAGTTGGTATTCTAGCAGGAGGCAGGGAGACTCAGCCCCTCACAGCCACAGCAAGGAGTCCCGTGGAGCTTGAATCCTGAGGGAGGTGACATTCTGGAGTAGCAGGCAGCTCTGCATCATCAATCCAGCCAACCACAGCCTGTGGTCCAAAGGTAACGGGACAGGGACCCGTTAATAAACATGAAGGATTCTCTCCTGCTCACTCCAGAGTCAATTCTCATGCCTGGGCTGGCCCTGTCTCTCTTCCCAGGGAGGTTCTGAAAGCTGCAATTTCCCCAAGAGGGAGTCAGAATGGCAGAGGAACCAAGTTGTCTGCAGACTGAGTGGAGCCATCTGAGGAGCCAGAGTGAAGTCCTCAGCTATCCTGGGGGAAGTGGCCAGCTCTCACCCTGGAGGGCCTGCCCCACCCTATCTCTGCTGTGGAAACCCTGTACAGCTGCCCCTGCTGGTGACCATGGATTGTGTTGGTGGCAGTAGCAGGCAGTGACAGACAATTGTCACCACATGGGCTGTGCTGTTGGCACCTTGATGTCCACAGCCTCTTCTCCCAGAGCCCTGATTCCAGTCTTTCTGGATACAAGGACCCAACCTGATGGAGGCTGGGCTCTCACCTGTGACTTGGGGGAGAGCCTGACTCAGGCAGAGGGGGAAGAAAGCACAGGCTTCTTTGCTGTCATGAAATGACCTCCCAGGCCTGCTTTTCTGGGGTCAGGGGACAACTTCTCCGTCCGGAGAGTGAACACATTCTGGAAGATGTCTCAGCGTTTTGAGGATGAGGAAAGTCACTAATTTAGAGGAAAATGTGCCCATGTTACGGTCAGCAACTCTGAGTGTCCTCTACTAACACTTGCTCCCATACACTGTACCCAGATTTAGGCCTGGGCTTTGGCCCGTCCCCCCAGTGTGCCGGCATCATGTCTGCCAGAAAGACCCTCTCCCTTGGTATTGTTCTCACTTAGAAGGGCCACTTATAAGTCACTCTAACTCTATCTGCTGCCAGCAATTCCTGCAGCTCCAAGCCAACCAATCCCATGGTCAGTGAAGGCCCCAGACCCCAGGAAAAATCACAGAAGAGTAAGGAGGCCTGGGTTGCTGGTGGGAAGGGGGTTTTAGGATAGAAAAGGGACCTGCCGGGCCTCAGAAGGCTTCCTCCTGCAGGACAAGGGTCTTTGCAGCACACATTCGCCTCTTAGCTCCCCCTGTCTTTCCTAAAGCAGCCTGCACCCCACTGCTTCTTCACTCTCCCCTAAGCCCTGCTTTTGTTGTAATCTTACCCTTCTAATATCTGACAAGCATTTCCCATTCCCACCTTGAAGAGGGACTCCAGGCCCTCTTGGAGGTGGCCCCAATGAGCCTTTCTTAATATCTCGCTACCAGGCCATGGGAACTGAGCCCTGTGCTTCAGCGTCCTCTCAACCAGCTCTGACTGCAGCTTTTGCACTGGTGCTCAGAACATCCCTCTGCATGAGTCCCTTAGTATTTATCTGTACAATAGCTGAATTTCTGGACGTTCTGTCTGGCTCATAAATCATCTCTGCTGCTGTAGCCATCACTTACAGGACAGTGGGAATTACATGAAGCAGGAGAGATTGGTGGTTAGAGACCCGAGTTCTGTGGCCAGACTGTCCGGGTCCAATCCCAGCTTTGCCCCTTTCTAGCTGGGAAAACCAGTTACCTGACTTTTGTGTCTCAGTTGTTCTTCTGTGAAAATATTAGAGTACCTCCCCCTTGAGGCTGTTGTGTGGATTAAGAAAGTTCTTGTATACAAGTTTAGAGTGGTGCATGGCCCACGGATCCCTCTGTGCAACGTCAGCTGTTACTGTTATGCCAGTGGCCTAATCGCCTCCTCACTACAACTCTGAGGAAGGTTCTAGTAAAATCTCCACTTTACAGGTGGCAAGATGAGGCCTAGAGTTTGAATGACTTGTCCAAGGGTCCTGTGATACAGCAGCTCCTCCACCTGACCTGCGACTAACCCTGGGGTCCTGTTTAAGTCTCAGCCCCTCTGTGAGGCCCCACAGCCCGTGGGGCTGTAAGCTTCCACCTACCCCTGCGTGGAGGCTGCCAGGCATCTTTCTGCACCTGCTGAAGCTTCCTGGGGACAACGCCTGTGGGTCTGTTCCTCTTCTCTAGTCTTGGCAAAGAAGCACTTCTGACCCACTGTTAACCCTGCCGGTGATGTGGCCAAGATTAACCCCAGCTCATGCCCAGTGTGGGTGGAGGAGGAAGAGCCTCAGGGGAAGTGAATGTGGGGCATGTTTCACAGACCCTGCTTCTCTCTTAAGGCTCTGCTTGCCAATGGACCAAGTCAACTGGAAGTGCGGGGGGCGGGGGGTGGTGCTGGGCCCACTGACTTAGGGAGGGAGGCCACTCAGACCTCAAGGAGAAAGAACTACAGTGGAGGCAGCAAATCTGAATTCTAGGCTTGGCTGTGCCACTTACCAGCAGCATGACCTTGGCTCATCATTCAACTTCTCTGGCATCAGTTTTCTCATCTGTACAATGGGAGTTAAGTCTGATTCCCAGGGATATCTGTAATAATAAATGCATAATATGCTAATTAGACCGGACAGCCTTCCAGACATTCTTTCGGACGACCTTCTGGACGAAGCTGTGGCGGGCAGGGGTTAAGGTAGAGGCAGCCGCCGAGGCAGTAGGGGCCGAGCCCCTTGCACAAATTTCGTGCATCGGGCCTCTAGTAGTGAGATAAAATAGTACATACTATGTGGTAAATAATGTGTAAAAACCAGAGGCCCGATGCATGAAATTCATGCAAGAGTAGGCCTTCCTTTCCCCAGCTGCTGGCACCAGCTTCCCTCTGGTACCTGGGACCCGGGCTTCCCTCGCAGCCCGGCTTCATCTGGAAGGTCGTCCGGAGGGATCTCTGGCCTAATTAGCATATTATGCTTTTATTATTATAACAATACAAATTTATGTGATTATGAGTAACATTGCCAAGTTAATTTGGACAGGAATTCTGGGCAATGTAGACATGTCTCTTTGAAGTTTTTGATCCCTTTAAAAATGTCTTTCTTTGTATTCCTTATTAAAGTTGCTTTTTAGCAGCTCTTTTGTGTCTTGACTGAGCAAAGGAGATTAAGGGAGTTGTGTCTGAGCCTCGGTCTGGTTGGGGTGATGGGGGGCTGCTGAGTGCACCCAGGATGGCAGATGTAGGAGGGAGGGCTCCTCTCAGTGGAGCCTCAGGGCAACGAACAGGCAAAGATTGATGAGGTGAACATGCTGGGCATGAGATGGAGCAAGGAGCAATGTCTGTGTCTCAGGGTAGAAGATAAGATGGATGGGCTCTCTCAACCCCCATCCTCACTCCCCTATTCCAGGCTGCCTTTTCTCATTGCTCCATTTCCCACGAACCCCTTGTACCCAGGCTTCTGGATGCCAATTAAGGTGATGTAATTAGAAACACTTGTGCGAGCTTCCTAGCGTGGAAGTGAGGCAGAGCACACCTCCCTGCCCTTTTGTCTATTTCCTGTGGGCAAGCCCGGAGGTGAGGACTGTCTCTGCACAGAGAAGGTGGCCCCTTCCCAGCTTTGGGGGGTTGAGTGGCAGCTGCAGGAGCAATGGCTCCTTGCTCCCTGGTCTATAGGTTTGGTCGTGTGTGTTCTTGAACTCAGAGCTCCCCTGTTCCTTCAATCCTCCCAGAGCTCGTGTAAGCACCTAAATCCCTGAACTGATTCCTTGGCCTCTACCTGGTACACCTAGAAGAGTTTCTGACCCTGCTCTGCACCTTGATTGTGGTGAATGGCCTGGGACTTTGTTGCTTCAAGGTTTGATCCCTGCTGGGCACCAGCTCCATTTTTGGAGACGACAACCAGGAGCAATGATGGAGGAGCATGCCTTGGAAAGAATCTAAGTCCCTAAGTGACCATGAGGGGCAGAGATGCACTGCTGACCTATGCCTTTCACACTGTTAGAGGAAGGAGAAATAAACCCTTGGTTAGACCATTGCATTATCGGGTGATGGCCAGGTATTGGCACTAAGTCCCTATCAGGTGTAACAACTCAGCTCAGACTGCTCTCCCTCAGAACAGGTGGTTCAGTGGAGGACTCTAACAGCCAAGAGGCCAGAAAGTTACAGTTGGAGTTGAGGGAGGGGAGCAAATATCCTACGTAATAAAAGCCTAATATGCAAATTGTCTCCTCCAGCAGTCGTTCCACCAGGAGACCAGGATTTTAACCACTCGCTATGACGTGCGGTGACCACCAGGGGGTGACGCAGACCATGGTGGACCTGGGTGACAGTGGAGGCCCTGCTGGTCCCATGGGCCCCGATGAGAGAAGGACCATGGTGGGATGGTGGAGCAGATGAGGGGGTGGCTCCAGGCCAAGGTGGGGCACCAGGCGGGACTGCTGGGCTGCAAGGCTGGGGGCATGAGCTGAGCCCGATCTCCACAGGCCACCCTGAGGGACCCCACCTGTGAAGGAATTTGTGCACTGGGCCCCTAGTGAAAGAATAAGGTTCTTACACTGGGTTCCTGATACACACCAGCTGGTCCACTCAAGGGCTTGGCGATAAAAATAGAACAATGTCAATCATGTCCTCTTTGATCCTCAAGGAAAGTTGAGAAAATGGGTAAACTATCTCCATTTTCGGCCTCATTCCCACACATTTGGCTCCTGTTGCCTTCTATCTGCCTCAAAATGAACTTAGAGCAAACAAAAATATATTTTAGAAAATATAAATATGTATTAAAATATATATTCTTAAAGAAAGTGGGAAGTTACAAATAAGAAAAGGGGGACACTCGGGAGAAACCTGCGGTGTTGGATTGGAATTGGAAATAACAGTATGAAATGCTTTGTAAAACATACCTATCTAACTGTATACAGTGGGGCCTTGACTTACGAGTTTAATTCGTTCAGAGACCGAGCTCGTTAAGGAGCTCGTTAACTCAAATTACTCTGTCAACTCAAAGCAAAAAATCGGTGAGAGACAGCTGGTATCTCAAAAAACTCGTTAGTCGGGACACTCGTAAGTCAAGGC